ATATATATATATATAGGTTTAACGTTTCTCAAGTTACTTGAGATAATTTTATCTCCGACTACTAAATCATAATCGTATAAAGATGTATCAATGGTGATAAAGGACGAGAGAGAAAAAGAGAATCATAATTATTCAAAGAAAAATCAATTAATATAAAAAAATAAATAAATAAAATGACATATTTTGGGATAGCCGGAGATAAAGTTATCTCAAGCTGCTTGAGAAATATTTTTCCCATATATATATATATATATGGGAAAAATGTTTCTGCAGTTAATGCAGATAAGTTATCTGCTTTTACTTCCAAAACAACGTCGTTTTGGGATTGCAAGAGTGTAATTAACACAATTTCCTATGTCGTGAATGAATCTATAAGAATTTTTCAAATGAATCTATAGATTTATTTTCATAAAATTATAGTTTAAGTCTTTTCAAATGAATTTAATATATACTAATTTTGATTTAGTATATAAGAATTTTTCATTTGAATTATTTAAGTTTGAAATTAATATGAAATTATATATTAAAAAAAATCTACTTAAAATTCTAAAAATATATTTATAGTTGATAAAAATTAATTTAAATTTGAAATTTAAACTTCATAGGTGGGAAAAAAAGTTAAAATTTTGGTTGTCAAACAATTATATTAATATCTCACTACTTTTTGCATAGGTGATTGTTAAGCCTATTACTAATATCTCTAGGGGTGTGCTTACCAAAAAAAAAAATTTCTAGGAGTGTTAACGGACCAAGCCGAGCCGAACTTTGGTCTTAACGGGCCAAACTTGTGTTCAAATATGTCAGACTGGCCTTAGCCTGTTACCTGTTATGAATATAATATCGGCTTGTGGCCTGACTCATTTACAAAAAATAAAAGTCTGTCGTAACCTGTTAGCCTGTTAAAAAATAAAAATAAAAAATAAAATTCAACAAAAATTCATAAATTCTATATCCAAACAGAAAAGTCCAAAAAATTAGCATACAGGAATACCAACCGATTTATTGTGAATAATAAATCATAAAAATTACATCAGTTTCAAAATCAATTTCCAGATAGAAACCTTAGCTTTCAATTTGCAGCAGAAATTTACAAAGTCCACAATAAATAAAAAAATTAAAGTGAGAGAAGGTAGATAACAGCTAACAGGTTATCGTATCTTTGCCCATTATAAAAAAAGTGCCAACAAAAATAAATACAAAAAAAAATTGACACAAACGACAGTGGAACGAATGAGTTTTGTGGGTTTGTTTGTGTTAGGGAGGATGAAGGATAATGGTTTGGAAGGACCAATTTGGTTAGGTGTGGCTATGGATCGGTGAAGATTGGTGACTGGTTGGGTTGGGGTTTCTAAAATAAAAAGAATGAAAGAAAGGGATGTGTGGTTGTCGGTTCAAGGAAGAAAGATTGGTGACTGGTTAGGTGTGGCTATGATTCATGTCGGTCCAAGGAAGAAGATGGTGGGGGTGTTGTGTGGCTGTTGGTTTGAACGAAGAAGAAGATGGAAGGACGATGGCTGGTTTCTTGGTTGGGCCAAGGAGGTGGGAGGTAGTCTGACGGTGGTGGTGAACCTTGGATTTGGGCGGTGGCTTCCTTGGGTTTTGTGAGGGAGAAAGAAGAGACCAGTTGTCACTTCATGTTGAAATGGTTAATAATAATAAAAAAATCAATATAATGACGGGCCAGCCTCCCAGGCTCCAAGGCCAGACTTATCCATGAAAGCCTAAGGCCTTTTAAATAAAAAGGCTTTAACATATGATCAAGTTTGAGCCCAAAAATTAAAAAGGCGGGCGGGGCTAGGCCGAAACAGGCCAGGCCTAAGGCCCCTGGCAGGGCCATGGCCTTATTATCACCCCTAATAATATCACAACTTTCTGCATCGAAAATTGTTAAACTTATTAATAATATTTTGTTAAGCCTATTAATAATATTTATTATTATGTAATTAAACTAATGAATGGTCTTTTGATATTACCCTATTCAACTTTAACTCAAATATTTTCCAACTCTTTATCTCTTATTTATGTCACAACTACACAGACCACAAAGAGTCGATTTAAAGGCAACTATATATCCTATGTCGTGAATGAATCTATAAGAATTTTTCAAATGAATCTATAGATTTATTTTCAAAAAATTATAGTTTAAGTTTTTTTAAATGAATTTAATATATAATAATTTTAATTTAGTATATAGGAATTTTTCATTTGAATTATTTAAGTTTGAAATTAATATGAAATTATATATTAAAAAAAATCTACTTAAAATTCTAAAAATATATTTATAGTTGATAAAAATTAATTTAAATTTGAAATTTAAACTTCATAGGTGGGAAAAAAAAGTTTAAATTTTTTGTTGTCAAACAGCTATATTAATATCTCATTACTTTTTGCATAGGTGATTGTTAAGCCTATTAATAATATCACAACTTTCTGCATCAAAAATTGTTAAACCTATTAATAATATTTTGTTAAGCCTATTAATAATATTTATTATTATGTAATTAAACTAATGAATGGTCTTTTGATATTACCCTATTCAACTTTAGCTATAAAGTGTTTGATAGAATATTAAACGTACGAATTCAAATATTTTCTAACTCTTTATCTCTTATTTATGTCACACATACACAGACGACAAAGAGTTGATTTAAAGGCAACTATAAAAAATATTGATATATAGTAATCTAGATGCAACTATAAGAAAAATTTTGTGTGGATAAATATAAAAACATATTAGATGCTGATATAAAATGTTGACAGTTAGAAATGACAAACTAGGCTCGCCCTCGAGGGCTAGCCCACCAACTTATTTTTATACTTAAATTAAATCTTCATCATTATTCTTTTATAATTAAATTCCTATATCTGATTTCAATTTTTGTAAATATAAATTTGTAAAATTCAAAATAAGGACGCAAATTCTTACAAAAAAATAATTATTTACATAAAATGTTGATAGTTAAAGGTTGCAAAGTGGGCTTGGCAAGAAGGGTCTGCCCGCCCCGCCTGCCAACACGTTTTTATAATTAATTAAAATTCAACTATTCTTCTTTTATAATTAAATTCCTAAATCTGATTTCAATATTTATAAATACAAATTTGTAATATTTCAGATATTAACGACACAAATTCTTGCAAAAAATAATTATTTATTATTAATTTGTAAATCTGACTGTAATAAATGAAAATTTATCTCTGAGATAAAATATAAAAATCTAGACGCAACTATAAGAGTCTTTTTTGTGGATAAATATAAAAACCTATTACATGCTGACAGTTTAGGTGGCAAACTGGGTTCGGCCCGGAGGGCCGGCCCACCAACACATTTTTATAATTAAATTAAAATTTTATCCTTCTTCTTTTATAATTAAATTCTTAAATCTGATTTTAATTTTTGTAAATACTAATTTGCAAAATTTCAAATACTAATGACACAATTCCTTGTAAAAAATAATTACTTATTATTATTTTTTAAATGTGATTGTAATAAATGAAAGTCCATTCCTAAAATAAAATATAAAAACCTAAATGAGACTATAAGAATCTTTTTTTGTGGATAAATATAAAAACTTATTACATGTTGATAGTTAGAGGTGGCAATCTGGGCTCGTCGTGAAGGACCGGCCCACCAACCAATTTTTATAATTAAATTAAAATTTCATCCTTCTTCTTTTATAATTAAATTCCTATATCTGATTTTAATTTTTGTAAATATAAATTTGTAAAATTTCAAATACTAACGATACAAATCCTTGTAAATTTTATTTTATTTTATTTTATAAATCTGGTTGTATTAAATGAAAGTCCATATCTAAGATATAATATAAAAACCTAAATGCAACTATAAGAACTTTTTTTGTGGATAAATATAAAAACCTATTACATGCTGATAGTTAAAGTTGACAAACTAGGCTCGGCCTGTAGGGCCGGCCCACTAACTTATTTTTATAATTAAATTAAAATTTCATACTTTTTATTTTGTAATTAAATTCCTAAATCTGATTTTAATTTTTTTAAATACAAATTTGTAAATTTCAAAATACTAAGGACATCAATCCTTGCAAAAAAAATATTTATTTACATAAAATGCTGATAGTTAAAGGTGGCACACTGAGCTTGTTCTTGAGGGCCTGCCCGCCCCGCCTTCCAACATATTTTTATAATTAAATTAAATTTCATCATTCATATTTTATAATTAAATTCATAAATCTGATTTTAATTTTTTAAAATACAAATTTATAAAATTTTAAATACTAACTACACAAATCCTTGCAAAAAATATTTATTTATTATTATTTTGTAAATCTGAGTGTAGTAAATAAAAGTCCATATCTAAGAAATACTGAAAGAAGCCGAGTCGAACTTTGTAATTTTTGAATGATCACAAGACAAGCTAAAGTATAACAATATATTTTAGAATGACCACAGGACAAGCTAAATTATAGCGACATATTTTTGTGTGGATAAATATAAAAATCTATTACATGCCACTATAAAATGCTAACGGTTAAAAGTGGCAAAATTAGTTCGGTCTGGATGGTCGGCCCACCACACCAAAATAGCATAAAATAACAATATAGTTTTTTTTTTATTTCATATATTTCTCAAGTAAAAGGTTTGCATTTTTTATTGGATTTATCATCTATCATTTAACATGACCACAAAAATTTTTCTACACACACAATATTTTGTGGGGCCCGCAGCAAAAAAAAAAAAATTCGGCACGCAAAACGAATCTCTATAATATAACACAATCACTTTTACTACAACATAACTCTTATAAAATCTTTTTTATTTTGTTCCTTCTTAATTATACCTTCACTGTTGTATCATTCATATGAAGTTTTTGATTTTTTTTACTGATTAACCCGACAAAAATTCCTATTTTTTCCCCGGCACGGGTAATACACTACTTAGTATAATATCGGAAGGGATATAAGTGATATACTTTTAGAATTGTAAAGCGTGCAAGTGATATACGTGTATGCTCCTCCTCCTCCTCCATAATGCTTCACAGTCCCTCAGCTACAGCCATAACAAATTCAATTTCGGTTATAACAAACTTCACCCTCTCCTCCTCAATAACTACCTGTCACTGGGCGTTCAATTTCAGTTATAACAAATCTCATCTACCTCTCCTCCGTAACAACCTCCCGATCGCATCGACTGTTCTCGGAACAAAAATCAGCCTCCGTCGCAATGCAAGAGATGCTGTCCTCAATTGCTCCGGCGCCGACGTCATCATCGTCGGCGCCGGCGTCGCTGGTTCTGCTCTGGCCCACACCCTCGCTAAGGTGCGTCTGATTCTGTTTTTCACGCCACCTAAAGCCAACTCACGTTTATTTATTTTACGTGCGATTTATTACTTGATTTTTTTAGGTTATGCTCTTTCAAATGATAAAAGAATAAATAAATAAATGGATGAGTTTGGAAAAAGTTTTGATTTAGTCTTTGCGCGGGAAGATGTGTTAAGTGTTAACTCACTTGTGTGCTATACTGCTATTGAATTGGTCAAAATTTGTATGTTGATTACAGTCTTATTAAGTTTTTAAATTTTACTGTTCCGAATAAGTGATATATACACAGATTATTTTGTATGTTGATTATAGTCTTATTATTGAATTGGAATACTAGCAAAAACTAGTATTCCAATTTCTAAAACATTAACACTAGCTTCTATGAGTATATCTTATTATTTTTCTTGGTCATCATCTCCTCATACTTTTCCACAATGCATTTTATGTTATGAATTTAGTAATTTTTTCGAGATGTATCTGTCAAAACAAAATATTTTCAGAAAAGAAAAAAAATCCAAAAATAAGAAAAGGCTCCATTTCTGAATTTCATTAGGAAGTTCTGTTTGTAACCATGAAAAGAGTTGGTGTACAAATAGCACCTCCTCCTCTTTCTGCAGAATGCGTGAGATTGTGAGAAAGGGGTATCAATTTGGAACATTCTGTACCCTTGATAGTACTGTATATCTTATCTTATGTTGGTGATTATTTGCATGTGTTATATTAGGCTCGAAATGGACATCTTTATCCAAAGTAATTTTGTTTGTGAGAATTTGTTATCATTGTTATGTATTTGGATTGGATTATCAAAGACTGTTCAATCAATGGTTTGCATCACTAGCATTATTGACTTTTTAGAAAATAGAATATCATAAGAAAAAGGAATGATGTTTGGATTGGTTATCATCAAGATATTCCCTAAGCATGTGTGTATTGAAATGTTTTGAAGGATGGAAGGTGTGTCCATGTTATTGAGAGAGACTTGAGAGAGCCAGACAGAATCGTTGGTGAACTTCTCCAGCCAGGAGGATACCTGAAGCTAATTGAATTAGGGTTACAAGGTATATATCAAATTAGTATACAAGAGTTATTATGGGGCTAAGGTTGGATATGATCTCTCTTCTCATCATATATTTATATATACCCGATTGCTATTTGGTACTACTTTTAAAAAGTGAAATAACACTTTGTTAGTTGACTAATGTCTTGTCAGGAGAAGTTTATATGTGCCTTTCCCATTTTGCTCTTGCTGTTACAGAGTCAGTTTATTCATATTTCTACTAGCTGTTTAAACTTGCCTAGTCTTGCTTTATTTATTTATTATTATGATTATTATTTTTTAGTTTGATTTATCATCAAGTCTCTATGCTGGTAAATCTTGTAAAACCTCCTATTGATGCAGAATCGATAAGCACATTGAATGATTGTGTTATTTAGGAATTATTATGTTATTAGAATTTTATAATTTCCTCTTATGCAAGATATCGTTCAATATTTTTAGGAACTATTTAGGATTATCTTATTTCAGCTTAGAATATATCTTATTAGGGTGTTTGGCTTTATTAGGTCTACAAATATAACTTTAATGTAAAGAGTTGAGATGCTTTTGATGATTATAGGAATTGATATTTTCTTTATTCAGAGAGTATCTGAGACTTGAGTTGGAGGAGTCCTCCGCCCTAGGGGAGCACTCTATGTTTATGAGAGGAGTACTCTTGATTACTCTTTCTACATCACCTATATTATAAACAAATTCTTCTCTCTTCAAGGGAATTATGTACTTACTATCACCCAACAACAGCAACAACAACCCCAAGCCTTATCCTACTAGGTGGTGTTGTCTACATGGATCAATCAAACACCATTGGATCCTATCACAAGCCAATATTTCAGTAAAACTAGAGTGAGGTGTTTTTTAATGGTTTCTTTTGATGTATTCTTAGGTAAAACTAGAGTGAGGTGTTTTTTAATGGTTTCTCTTGATGTATTCTTAGGTCTATCTCTGCCTCTTATATTATCTTTCATTTGATCCACTTATCTAACTGGAGCCCCTATTGGTCTTCTTTTGACATGAACAAATCATCACAAGCGTCATTTTTGTCATTTCCTCCGAAGTGTTACTCCAACTTTCTCCTGGATACGCTTGTTCCTAAACTTGTCTTGTATGCCTACTCGTCTGCCTACTCGTCTGCCTCAGCATATTCATCCTCGCTACACTTGTTTTTGCTTATGTTGACATTTCAGTGCACAGCATTCACTACCACACAGCATTGCTAATGGTTTTGTAGCTCAAATTCTAAACCGTTTGCCATTTCATGGGGTCCCTTAAGCGGGGAAAAAGGATATAGAACTGCATATTATTAATAACATTGCTTTTATAATAAATTGATAATGTTTTCGAAGCTATAATTTATTTCTCTTAAGAATTTAATATGTTTTCTGCCACTGACATTAACATATGCTTGATGGTGGAGGAAGCTGACTATCAGATACAATTCTCTTTTATAAGCTATTGTTTTGAATTGTTCTGTGTATATTCTTTTGTCAGACTGCGTGGAGCAAATTGATGCACAAAAGGTTCTAGGATACGTTCTTTTCAAGGATAGGAAAAATATTAAGCTGCCTTATCCCTTGAAAAAGTTTCATGCTGATGTGGCTGGTAGGAGCTTTCGTAATGGACGGTTTATACAGAGGATGAGAGAAAAAGTTGCTGCTCTCCCCAAGTAGTCCTTGTTCTATTGTGATTGTTGATTTAATTATTAAAATTATTTACTTGGTTAAAAATTAAGCCAAAAGCTAGTTAATTTTCCAAAGTAATTGCTCTTTTCCGGTATTCTTTTTGCCTGATAATATCGTCTTCTCTGTTACTGTTCAGTGTACGAATGGAGCAAGGCACTGTTACATCTCTTCTTGAACGAGATAATAAAACCATTATAGGGGTTCAGTACAAATCTAAAGATGGCAAAGAGCTTAAAGCTTATGCTCCCCTCACAATTGTTTGTAATGGCTGTTTCTCAAATCTGCGTCACTCTCTCTGCCACCGCAAGGTTGAATTGTCTTCTAAATAAGTTGAGTGACAAAATATTATTTTTTCCTTTTTAATGACGTGAGATATCATGCTTATGATCAAGACAGTTTGCTGATAATGTGACGTCTTGAGGATTTTGTCAATTTTGCACATAAGTTTGCTTGACTTCCCTAATATTCAATTGTATTGAACACTTGGCCAGGTAGAAGTACCCTCTTATTTCGTGGGTTTAGTCCTGGAGAATTGTCAACTCCCATTTGAAAATCATGGGCATGTTATTATGGCAGATCCTTCCCCTATCTTATTTTATGCTATCAGCAGCTCTGAGGTTCGCTGCTTAGTTGATATACCTGGTCAAAAAGTTCCTCCCATAGGTAATGGTGAAATGGCCAACTACCTGAAGACTGTGGTAGCTCCACAGGTATCTGTTATGATCCTGCTTGACTTGTGGATAGTCCAGCTGAAATTTTTCATTACTAGCCGTGTACAAGTATGCAATTTTGTTTGCCTCAAACTAAGAGGCAAAATATTCAACTTCTGCCTTCATCTTCCTTGGTATATCATGTTCTTTTTCTTTTGTCCAGATTCCACCTGAGCTTCATGATGCTTTCGTATATGCAATTAATAGAGGAAATATTAGAATCATGCCTAATGGTTGCATGCCAGCTGATCCTTATCCTACTCCTGGAGCTCTGTTAATGGGTGATGCTTTCAACATGCGTCACCCTTTGACTGGTGGAGGAATGACAGTGGCACTCTCTGATATTGTTGTGCTGCGGGATCTTCTCAAGCCGCTTTCTGACCTAAATGATGCAGTCTCACTATGCAGATATCTTGAATCTTTTTACACCTTGCGCAAGGTGAGCAGTATTCACTTACTGGCTCATATATTATTCAAGAGAAACTGGATTTTATATATCTGGTCTTGTAAATTGGTCAATATTTCTTTCGTGTCTAATGGTAATGATGTTTGTTTGACAATATTTGTGGCATGATACATGTTTGTGGAAATCATTATGATAGTAAATATGACAGTAAATTTAGAATCTTTAATCGTCACAGCATGTGGATTTCAACTCTATGACCTGACGTGCTCTTTGCAGCCTGTGGCATCTACTATAAATACTTTGGCGGGTGCCCTATACAAGGTCTTTTCTGTTTCACCTGATCAAGCCAGAAAGGAACTGCGCCAAGCTTGTTTTGACTACTTGAGCCTTGGAACTATTTTTTCATCTGGACCAATGGGTTTACTCTCTGGTCTAAACCCTCGCCCACTGAGTTTAGTTCTCCATTTCTTTGCTGTTGCAATCTATGGAGTTGGCCGTTTGCTCTTACCTTTTCCTTCATTTAAACGCATGTGGATTGGAGCTAGATTAATGTTGGTGAGTTCTTCCTTCCTCCCATTTCCCATCCATTTAGTTGCTCAGTCAAGGAATATGGCTTTTGTTGCCTTGCTGTTATTTAATTCTCCCCTGCTACATGTAACTGACCCTAATACTACTAACAAGGTTCATTGTAGCATGCTTTTCCTTATCTCCTAACAGCATCATGGATAAATGAACTAGTTATGCAATAATTTGATCATGCTGCAGCATAGTTCTGGCAAATCGTACCATTCTTATTTCAACATTTTTATTTCTTATTCACAAAGGTCGAGTTTTCTTCTGCAGTGTCCGTGAACATTGTTGTAGTTGTAATGTATGTTGACATGATTACAGTTGTGTTATATTCTTACAAGTATTCATCTTCCAGTGTGCATCAGGCATAATATTTCCCATCATCAAGGCTGAAGGAGTAAGGCAAATGCTTTTCCCCGCAACCTTACCATCTTTTTATAGAACTCCTTCTAGGTGATGCATTGAGGAGGAGTCGGTGAACGCCTACATTGCTTCTTCCTCTACTAAGCGTTTTTCAGTTGTTTTCTGTCTACAAATTAAGAGAAAGATCGATGGGCGTTAAGGATATTGTGTTAAGCCACCAAGAGTGAATTAGAGATGAGCAGTGTGGGATAATGTGTGAAATATCATTGGTCAAACTTCTGTCATTATTGTAATGATGTTTTCGGTCAAGTTCTTTCAATTTTATTTTAGGGAAAACACCCTTAATCTTTCTATCTAGATGTACACATAGTTAGATATGATCATTATGAATGAAGCTGGGATATTTACCAAATGGAAGCAGCACTATCTCTCGAGCTCGAATCCACTGGCAAGCCTATTATTTATTGTGTTACAAACATAATACAAAAAAACTTGAAATAAAATTATTCCGTTGCCGGGAATCGAACCCGGGTCTCCTGGGTGAAAGCCAGATATCCTAACCGCTGGACGACAACGGAATTTTTGGTTAAATTGCTTCCAAAGTTTTTCTAATTTAAAAGTTCTAACCACATGCTATTTATTATTCAAGACAAAGTTTCTTTACTTGTAACACGTATATTTCTGGAAAAGGCTTCAGTAGATTTGCACACTAGACTAGTAGTGCAATATATTAAAATTTTAAATTCAGACTCTACGGAACAGAGTTATGTCAGGCGATCGCATGTTTATTTTTAGCTTAATCCACGAATATACACTATGCTTTCCCAAATGACAATTTTTCATAACTTTAAATTCTTTTTATTATTTTACTGCATGTCAAAAGGATATCTTATTTTAGGGACTGTTTGGTACAAAATATTTTCTCGAATTTTTGAAAAATTGAATTTTTTTAAATTTTAAATTTTTGGATATTATTTTAAATTGAATGTAAAAATTATATTATTAAAAATCAAGATTTTTGGAAAAAAAAAAAATTTCTCCTGTACCAAATATTCCCTTGAATAAAAGTACAAAGTGAAATATTACATTTTAAATCAGAGTTTATCATGATTATATTAGAAACTTATTTCATAAATATTATTTTAAAGGAAGTACAAAAACAAAATATTAAAGAGAACATCGAATTATGTGTAATAATTTCTTTACTTCTTAATGGATGATAAAAATCCAAAAAAATAAAAAACCTATTTTTATCCATAAATAATCAATATTCCAAATATCTTCTGTGTTTATTCATAACAGTGACCAATTAAGAAAACCAAAGCAAATTACGAAATAAAAGACAAAATGAAAAGTAAAGAAAAAAAAACAACCAAAAACACAAAACACTACATAATATAAAAACACTACATAATATAAGCACGCATCAGTGAAGTGTAGCACTACTTCAAGCACCATAACGAAACTACCATTCTATTTGAAAAGCTTGAACTATAATTGGAAGGGGCCGCGCGAACGCAGGCCCCCACTACCACAAATTATGACGTAGGCTCCACCACTTGGGCAGACCTTAGGGCAGCACCCCTCCGAAGTGCAATGGAGGCCACTACCCTAGGCCATGGGCCTTCTTGATCACCCATTGACCCCGTCCAGGTAAGTATGTTGCTACTTAGCACTCACTTCACTTTTATAACCCGTACTCCTCAATACCCACGCCTAATCTTCTCGATGTGGGGATCTTTTTGCACTGCTAAGTTACTACAGAGTGTTGTAACCATTCTCTCGCTCAGAGATGGATCTCTCCGTCTGCACAATGGCCACAAAGATCCCTTGTTTTGGTGCACAAAAGAAGTAACTGGTAACTGGTAATGCAAGAAAATGGATGGATGGAGCATGGTTGAGCTGCCAAGTCCCCCACCTAGAAGAGGACAGGAATGAGCATAGTTAATAGTTAGTTAAGCAATTTGCAACCATGCAACACAAAGTGGATGGTACTAGCACAAGACAAATAAGCTTCAATCCAGTGCTTCTTGGTTCCATCATCCCAGTCCACTTAGAGGGCTGAGATTATACCTCAAAGCTCAACTTGCAACAAACTGGCAGAGCCAAGGATCTTACTTTTTAGTTAGAGTGGGGAAAAGCCAAAATGGCAAATTTGGTCTCTCACCACCAAATTTGCAAGAGCCATCAACATTTCCCCATACTACAATCCTCCTTAGGAAATTTCAAGGGCCACTCAATGGACTCATTGTCATGCGGTCATACCCATGGCCTAACATCAGACTATGTAAACATGACTCTCTAATCCTGATGAGAAAGAAATATCACCATAACTAGGAGAAAGGAACCCCTCAAAAACAAAGTTTGAGTTTATAATCCCACACTTCTTATATCACGGTAAGATTAAACTTTTCAAATAAAGTGAATGCGAATCAAGCCGATATCAAAGCGTTATAGCACTGTTACAACCTTTTTCTTTTCTTTTTTAATAATGAATGTGTATAAATAAGTTGTGAAATGTGTAGTTAATTAAATCAATATGACTAGTGTTTATCATAAAAGAAAAAAAAAAATCAATAGGACTAGTAAGTTACTGAGAAACAAGTATAATTAGTGCATCGTGAAAGGAAAATATAAAGAATTTTATTCATATGTAGTTATAATATTTTGTGTGTTCTTCCCTTGAATGTTAGAATGCAAACTCACAAACCAACATTGCTAGATAGATGAGAATGAGAATGAGAATGGTAAGAGCAGGAAAAATAGAATACCGCATTTGCCAGAGGCTATCACTTGGAGCCACCTCTCCCACGGCGTGTTTATAACTGGTAAGTATAGAAGAAAAATTAGCAAATGCATTCGATTATGAAATTTACATTGCAACTACTTTCAACAAGAGCCAGCAACCTACGAGGAATTTACATATCTCACCCTCAACCCCACACAAGGTTATTATTTTATGTATAAAAATTCTAAATTTTTTTCTTTATTTTATTATTAGTTATTAAGTGACCTGATGTGTTATTTCCTTTAGGATAAAATTCATTAGCTTATTTACAAACTTGGTTTCGATTATATGTTGTTTTCATTTCTTAAATAAAAATAATAATAGAAAGATTGTTGATATTTTTATATCTTTTTGTTAAGATCTCATTTGCCATATGTGCAATTAAAGTTCTAATGTGGTTCGGTATAGTGTGCAATTAACATTGCTTGACAAATGATATTGGTTTAGCTATTTTAACATAAATGTCTACTTACAAATTGACATGTAGGTTAAAAAAGTATGGGCAAGAATAAATAGAAAAGTATATATGTGTTCTTTAAAAAGAAAATATTCTCTGAAAGTGATGCACCTTCTCATTAGCAACTTCCTTCCAAGTGTCGTAGAATTGAACATACTGATGACATTATTATAGTCAAAGATAAATATTTTGTACGTGATCAAGGAAAACGTAAGCCAAATTGTGAATATTCAGCTAATGAAGTCGATGAGATACAGAGAGCTTATTTAATGGTTGGGCTATGTCAACCCCAATGCTCCTATCGATTTTCAAAGGAAATGCATCCTCGACTTTTTCAAGCTTCTTGGTTCAAAGAATTTTCTTCGTGACTTTAGTACTTATCTTCCATAGATGCTGTATTTTATTTACCATGCTATCTTTTCACTACAAAAGTCGATAGGCGACATGATTGTGATGCATTCACAATCAAATGTTTTAATACTTGGAAAAGAGTTCACAGTGGAAAGAATTGTGCTTTTCTAAGTCACATGAGAAATGATCCTTGTTCACAACATACTAATGCACTCATCTTATGTGTAGACTTAATGAATCAATCTTGCCATATTGATAAAGCTACGCATGCTCAAAGCTCCCAACAAATTGAAAAAAATAGGTTGCGTGTTAAGACTTCAATTGATGTTGCCTGTTGCCTTGTTTTTCAAAGATGTTCTTTTAGAGGACATGATAAGACTATTAATTCAAGAAATAGTGGTAATTTTATTTAAATGATCAAACTTTTGACATCTTACAATGGAAAAGTTACACATGTTGTTCTAAAGAATGATCCATTGACAGCTAAGTATACCTCACCTCTAATACAAAAGGAGATTTTATATGTTTTAGCAAACAAAGTGCGAAAATAGGTTCGCAAAAATATTGAGGGCTCTAAGTTATATATTATTGTGGATGAAGCACGTGATGAATCTAAAAGGGAACAAAAGGCTCTTGTCTTGAGATTTGTTGGCAAAGAAGATTTCATAAATGAGAGATTTTTTTTTATCTTTATCACCTTCAAGATACATAATCTATTACACTTAAAAATGATATTAGTGAAATAGTCTCACATCATTGCCTTGATATCCAGAATATCTGTGACTAAGGATATGATGGTGCTAGTAACATGCGTGGTGAATGGAATTAATTGCAAGAATTATTTCTTAATGAATGTCCTTGTGCTTATTATGTGCATTGTTTTGCTCATCGATTACAATTAGTTTTGATTGTTGGCTCTAAGGAAGTTTCTTCTATTTATCAATTTTTTCAGAATTTGAATTTCATCATTAATATTATCACTGCTTCTTCTAAACGTCATGATCTATTCCAAGCTGCCCAAATTTCTAAATTTGAACATTTACAGGCTATTGGTGAGCTTGAAACTGGTACAGGTTCTTGTTGCGAAATCGGCAAGTATACCGTTCGTTTCAAGTAATAAAATGATAAGTAAAGTTCGTTCCCACGAGGATTAATGCACCAAGTACTAATTTAACTATTCTCCTTAAGTTGGAAAAGAAAATTTGTTTGAATTGTGAGAGTAATTGATTATTGGAAAAACATAATAATATTAAAAAACATGCAAGAAGATCAAGAATGTCAAGAAAATATGAGATTGATGAAAAATTGTAAAAAGACTGTAGCCAGGATGCACTTCACCTCTGATCCTCCCTTATATTCCTATATTGTATTTTATAATTAACTAATTTGTTTGCTCAGACAATTCATTATTTCCCTATAAAATAGTTGAACCATAATGTCTTAGTGATTTCAACCCTTTAACCCAATTAGAATCCTAGTGTCCTAGTAATCCCTCTTGAATTAAGCATTAAGCAAATGAATTAAAAGTCTGCAATCTATGTAAGCCTATGTCTAGGTCATGCACAAATTATTATTCTACCCTTGTCCAGATTAAAACCCTATTATGTCTATTGTGAGCCCTAACCCTCAAAGTCCTATAATTAGAGTGATCAAATCTAATAAGAATATGGAAAAATTAACACAGGTAGAATTAAATAAACTAACTAATTAACTTATAAAAACAATACAGTAAATATAAAGAATTCACATTGGGTCTGTGATCCCAACTACAAAAAGAAACTAGCCAGACATAGCTGACTCTAACAAATTAAAAAACAAAA